AACTAACATTTATCAAATTATATTAGTTTGATTCTGTCAAATTGAGTCAATTGATGTGAAAGACCCAAACGTCTCATTCAACGTCTTTAACAACCAGAGAGTTGAAACAATGTACACATTGTAACTGGGATGGAAGTAGGGTCAAACGCCTTTCATTCAAATTATCAATGAAAGCGGAGACTCATGTCCGCGAGTGAATTTTCCTCCAGTAGGTGGACTACAGCATGTACCGAGTGGGAAGGGGGAGGAACAGCGAGAGACCCAGTGAGCTGGGAGAGGGGAGATGCAAAAATAAAACAGAAAAGAAACACAAACGGAAGTGGGGGGAAGTACGTCCTGGAAAAGCTCAAGTTCCTCTGAAGGAAAATGCCATTGAAACCATATCAAGTTTGCCGTATGAGTGTGTGAGAGAGTTACTGGCGTATAAACCGTACAATTTGGTAATGGGCTTATGAGGGGGCTCGCTCGCTGTTTCAATAAACCCCCAGAGCCACGACTGAGCTAGGCTTGCAATACAAACACACCCCGTTCCTTCAGTTTATCTGAAAGACACATCTGGAGTCTATCAACTCCAGCAGCAACCCCCCTTTCTGTTTCCACTCTCCAGCACGCTTAACCCCTTCCTCACCCGCTCCACCTCTTAATGTCATGCACTCTCATTAGGTGACTGTTGCCTAACCGGGGGCCACTTAATGGCGTGTGCGGGCAAAACATGCTAACACAAATGTTCAATTTTCTGTGAGGAAAAAATGAGTATGTGTGTGTAACCTCCACAACTGGCCTTAGCTCTATTTTGAGTGGTGGGCTGCTTCAATCTGAACCTTGTCTTACCCACACTGGTCTAGTTTAGGGTCTCGTAGCCATGTCTGCACATTATCCCCTGTTTTTACATGCTGCCCACCTCGGCTTTGTTCCAACTCATCAATGTAATTTGCTTGGCCTGTGTGGAAATAACATCAATCTCCCACGAAGAAAAACAATCTCAGATTTATATAAGAAGACAAACGGCAGGAGCTTTCCTTCTCTCCCTCCCTTCCTCTCCAACTACCATACCATCTTTAGCCATCTCGGCTCCACTTCCCCTCCGTCAGATGGTAAAGTTGTTTAAGTTGGACAACTTCCTAACCCCCGGCTGCTCAGAATGGCAGAGGAGATTTCAAGGTTGGTTTCAGAGAGCCTCAGGCAGAGACTGAGTGGCCCGTCTCCCCTTTTTGTAAAACAGATACTATCGAGGCAAGAGAGTAATGGATTGGCCCATGCATTCTTAATGTGATAATGGTGTATATGTTTTTATCATGAAGACATTTTCCTAAAGATATCCAACATCTGCACAATATCATGCACTGTGAGTGTTATTATTGGTCGCAGGTTTAAGCGTAAACTTGCCTTAACTCTTGTTCCTTTAAAAGCATTAATGACAAACTCCTTATTTCCTGCTGCTTAAACGTTTTTTATAATAAGCTATTATATGATATGTTTCATTATCCGCATGTCCTCTTGTATGTTCTTTTGCAGAAGAAAATTAGCATTTATGGCTAAGTCTGGCACGTCAGCATGATCTCATTTTTATCAATGTGCATTGTCCCTTCTTAAATAAATAAGTAAATATTCCTTGTGCATACTCTCCCGCAGTGCAACGAGAAGTAAAAGTACAGTCATGTCAGGTAGATTGATACTGTAGGGAATCATTTCAGACTCCCTTGTTGACAAAGCCTCTCATGCTGCCAACACCTTTGAGCCTCTAACCAGTCCCAACCACAAGCCTCACTCTCTCCTGCCTTCCAGACCTGTTCACTGCGAGCGCCCTGCTGCTCCCTCATCCATCATCATCGCTGCCCTCTGCTCTCCCTCCCTGCTCCCTCTCTCCCTGTAGGGTGAGCAGAGCTGGTAATGAGGGGCCCCTTGTGCCCCTGCCTGCCTGTCCTGTGTCCCATGGTGCATGGGGCCCTGCTTGGACAAGTGCCAGACCGGCTCGACCCTCTCTTTGCTCATTATTCTCATTACCTCGCCTCAAATCAGTGCAGGACAGGCTGCTGGGATCTGTCCACAACTCATAAAGGTCCCGGCTCGTTAGCGGGGCTGCCGGCGTCAGATCCCATCAGAAAGATGGAGGTACAGTATTGACGGCCTGATCGCGTGTTGGAAAGCTATTTTGCATATAGCAACCGCTGACACAGAAACCAGGTATGATTCAAATGGTGTTGCGCCCCACAAGCTGGAAAAAATGGTTATTTCCAACATCCAAGTGTAGCTGTTGGATGGCAGGCATATTTAAAAAGAGCTACACAAACACAGTAGTCCAGTAAAAGGGCAAAAACAAACAAGGCTAAATTGCTCCTTTGCACTTGGGTGGTTTGGCAGGCTATGAAGGCGCAGTGGCTTTGGGGAGGTTTGTCCCAATGAAAGGGCTAACTGTGTAGATTGCTGCACTGTCTGGCCCAGGCCTGGAGGAGGGTGGCCTGCCCTGGAGCTGTTTCTCCCACCAACAACAGCCGATCAGACTACATTTAGTTCTGAATAGATAGTCTAGTGTGAGTGGTCTTGAGATAAGAACCAGAGCCATTTGAAAGGACTGGACAAGAAGCAAAGGTTGCCCATACTAGGAAACACACTCAGAGCTTCAGTGCACACACAACAGAGAGTGAGAGTGAGCATGTGCAGTCAGGGAGCAGACTGTGTGTTTATCCTTGTCACATAGGGGAAGAGATGCAGTCTTATTCCCTGATGTGTGTTTACTCAGCCCTAGTGGGCCGGCCCTTGATTACAGCACTGACCACATAATATGAGTAACTGTTCACTACTGCTCCAAATGATTAGCACATGTAGACGACATACTGGAAAGAATGAGAGGACCTGGAGACACAAAACAAAACTGAAATCTCACATCCAAACCTTTTACCGTAAACTCACCCTTCCATCACGGCAACGGTGAATTTCAATGCGGCACTTTTTACCATGAGCTCAGTTGTAATTATAAGCTGTGCAAGGCTCAATTAAAGGTTGAAGACGTCAGTGAGTGAGTGAGCGGACCTCCACTGCTGTGTGTCAGAGAGCCAGAGGAGGTTGAGGCAGAGGAGTGAAATGAGGCCTGCATGATTTACGTTTTGTCCTCTCTTCAACACCAGGCGCCAAGAGAATAAGTATGTGTGTGTGTGCTGGTTTGTTTAGCCTGTTCTGTGTCTTTCTCACAGGTCTTCTAGCTACGAGCCTGCATGAAAGCTCCACCCTGTTGCTCCCTGCTAGTTTTATCACTGCTCCAGCTACAAGGGCCAGTTAGTGGGTAAGCTCAGGTTACCCGACCCAGCGACCCTACGGCGCTACGGGGAACACTCTCGGCACTTACAAAAACAAGCAACACCAGCTCGATTTACATCAAAAAACTTCAAGCAACTTCTTTGGCTTTACTTTTAATTATCCTTCTAAGCAATTTTAGTCACAGGGCATTGTATTGTCTTCCTGTCAACATCTTTATTAGCCTCTTTGTTGCTAGACAATTAAGGTGAGGACTTGGCCTTGGATCTATTCTCCCATGGCGTTCAGATGCCAGACATAAAAATAGCAATCTCAGCAAATTTGGCAGGTCTGGTGTTAGCTCCAGCAGGTACATAATAACAAGCCAATAACTGCAACAAATTACCATATTTGTCTTTCTTTCAACATTTTTGAGAAGCTTGTAACCTTCATGGGTGGCAGCTCTGAGTGGCATGTGGAACTAATATCCCTACAACATACCCACCCCCTCCCCAACAAATTAAGTATGTCTGCCAGACTACAGTATCCACGCTGAAGCGGATCCATGTGTGTTGTTAGCTACCAGGACGCTATAAAGCTTTACTGGGATGCTCTGTAAAATAACACCTTGTGTCTGGTGGGAAACACACAAGTTGTGATTCTCACGTCAGAGTATCCAAGGAGCAGAAGCTTGTAGATAGTAAACGACAGTGTTGACTGTGTTTACTGTAATTCTGATCAAAATACATATTATCATGCGTGCTGTGATTTTAACCATCACTGTACACTGTCAGATGTCTCTCTTGTTATCTGTGTTTCAAGTCCAATGACACCAAGCTACGGTAGCACAATGCTAACATGCTTGTGTTACTCAACATTTTTGCATGAAAACATTTGCTAATAATTAGCACTTCTCAAAAACCAAAAGAACTGCACAAATCAAAGTTGTGACCCAATGGTAGTTTTTATAAACGTTACGAGATCACTAAAGACTTTGAATACATTTAATCTTGATTTAATTCATCCTCTGTGGAACATGAATGTATGTACCAAGTAATTCGATCCAATAGCTGTTAAGCCATTTCTCTTGAAACCCAATATGTCATGTTATGTCAATGTCAGGTGATCAAAATACAGTAGGTCCATGAAAGCTAGAACCACATTCTGTGGCAACCCATGTAAGAGTTGTTGAGATATTTAGGTCTGGAACAAAGTGGTAGACTGACCAACATGCAGACAGTTAGCGTGAGAGCTTCTCTGTACTCTCTACTCATAGTGGGCAACAGTTCCTACTTTCCTGTTTTTTTTACCAGGTCTGCCATTCATTTAAATTTCCCTAGAAATGATCCTGTCTATCTTATGTCTTACACCTCATTCAGAGAGATTACGATGATACTAGGGTTGGCTAGACTGTCTGTTAACCGCAGGCGAAGCTGCCAACGCGCAACTCCCTTATCTTATCCAGTGGAGTGGAACTTACCTGATGATGAAGGCCTGAAGTGTAATTATATGAGCTTTTCAACATAACTCTGTGATAGCCAGAGTGTATCATCCTCCCTTCTGGACAGCAGCCCATCATTGGATAGAAACACACAGAGTTGCTGAGATCTTACTGATACTCGATGCGTATTTCTCCCTTAAGGACCAGAGGCAAGCTAAAATAACAGCCGGATGCATAAAAGATATATCTCTGGTACAGAATAAACAAGACATTGAAGCATCTGCAGAAGTGGTTTTGCATAAGTATGATAAATCAGCAGGCTACTTACAGTTTCTCCAAAGCATAAAGTCCAAAGAAGGAGCCATTTCTCAGAACTCTGATTTTGTTGTGGCTCAATAACCTGAAAAAGAAAAACAGTATTGTTAGAAATATTCCCACTGAGAATAAACTGAAGTATATAATACAGTACTGAGTGAATATCTTGGACATCAGCCTCAGGGCTGAAGGAGAGTTCAGGTTTAGCCAAACACACAGTGAAGGGGTCACAAGCGGAGGATGAAAGCCCATGAAATGTCCACTTGGTGCAGCAATTACACGCCATGATCAGAGACATTAGCTTAAGATGTTTCAAATTAAGGTGAAGGACATAAGTAGGACATCAAGATTAAGAGGGAAGCTGTAATCTTGATAATCATTTGGCATATACTTTAACATCAAAAGGATGTCCTTCCACATCAAACAAATGGCGGTACATGCCATGTTAGTTAACACTTTGCCTACAGGCACATTTCTTGGTTTATAAAACTATTATCAGACCTGAGGGCAGAGGTCCATGGGACAGACTGGAAGTAAGATGAGATTGCTTTGTTTGGCAGGGAATCACAGGAATAGATATTTCAAGTTATCACTTTGCACCGAGGGACTTGCGATTGTCAAAGTCAGTTAGGATCAGGCGGCAACCTCCGGTATAAAAAAAGTGAAGCAATTGCAGAAGTTCCTTCAACTTGTATTCTCTCTAATATCCAACAGGGGGACATTACAAGAAGAAGTCTGATTGTATGGAGGTCTAAGAAAATCCCCCATTATTTCTCAGTTGATGTATTATCTTAGTAAACATGTTTTCTGCGTTAATGGCATCAATCACTTGTTTCAAGTGTTCTTCACACTCATTGGATGGTGCATGGTGATATTTTTTATCAGTTCTCACAGTTTAAGAAAAGAGCATCAGTGTGTTTGAAGCCTTGTGTACAGAAGTGGAATAGAGGAAGTTGAGGTGGATGGTTGGGCCCAGTTAAGGTTGACACCAGAGACTGGGATATGCATCTACATCCCATGTGTTGTTCATTTTAAAATACCAAAGCACTTGGGAGCGGTTGTGGAAAGACTGTGGTTTTGCCTAAATATTAAAAAAGTAATTACATCCTGTCTGAGTGCTTTAAGTCAACTTTTTCAATATTTAACCAAGACCAATGTGTCCTTTGCTATTGCAGATTTGTTGAACACGAACAGAATTTTCCGGAGGCAAAGTTAAATGTTTTCAGCACCGCCCCACAGAGCTCAGGGTACAGCAGGGGCCCTGCTCTGGCGACAGCCCGCCATTATTAACACACCCTTCAGTTACACATAATCTTCGCCTCCACCACATGGTGCTTAACGGGCACTTCGCAACATTAAGTGTGTTCTTAATCGAGAGAGTGGAACTGTGTGAGCGCCTTTAAAAGTGGGAGCGGACTGTGAACAGTCTGCGCGATTTACAGATTCAGCAGCAGCAGTCAGCCCCCCCCGTTTCCTGCCACATCAATAAAAACACCGCCTTCAGCTCGGCACCTTCCAAGTCACTTAATGACCAGATTTAATATTTCGCCCTTTGTATACAGGGACAAACTGGCCTACCTTATTTCTTCACCAAAATAACTTCACTGACAGCTATAATACCAGGACGATTTGAAGACAGAAAAGGAGCAAACAAAAGGAAAGCCAACATGGAAAGTAAATCATCATCTGCTGCAGTTATCCTGGGCACCTAAGTCAATATATTCCTACAATTATCTACTAAAAATAAAACCAGAGTAATGTATTTTTAACGGGGCTGCAATCAAGAGACGAGAGCTGCTCCACTGATAATGACTATAATACTGAAAGGAAGGCCATTCTGAATGTTTTACTTAGAGTTTAAACCAAAATCATCTTTATTTTAGGCTTTCCTGTGAAAATATGAATCATCTCACAAAAATCCACACTCATTTGCAAACATAAAGCCTCGGAAATTGACGGCCTTACTAACTTTAGAACCCAAATGAAAAACATGTCATGTTCACAAATCCACACTGAATTGTTGGAACACATCCTGGTTATTAGATCAAGACTTTTCAAGAGTGTTTTTTAGATCAGAGCAGAGTCAGTCCTCTCGTGTCGTAGCCTGTAGTTGAACCTATGATTCCTAGACATTAACTACTTGACTTTGTGCACAGTATCTCCTCTATAACTGAATGCAGACCCGAGATGAAAACTACAGAAGATCCGGAACTGCCTGAATAATTCAATACAGATAGGAGAGGAGAAAGTCACATCTGGCATTGAAGCGAGCCATTTAATTCAAGACAGACAGCTAGATACAGAGAGTTCCTTTTTGACTAAGCTTACCATGCAGAAAAAAGCTATTAGTCAGCAAACAGTGAACGTGTTTGAGTGTGCATGTGTGCAGAAATCTCGAGCTTGCTATTATCAATGCATTTTCTAGGAGAAAAAGGTTTGAAATGATTGGCATCTTAAAACCTATACAGATGTGTGTGTTCTGCCCACGCACATTTGGGTAAAACGTACAATTCCCATGTGGCATCCTAACACAATACCCCTCATTTGTCTCAAGTTAAGACATTTCAACACATGGTATTTCAATGTGCTCGCTACTCAGTACACAAGGACTTGAAAGCTGACTTTCACAAATAAACAAAGACCACAAAACGGGTTAACTGAAACCCTCCCACGGACAACAAAAGACGTATATTTCCAGGAACGCAGACACTACTGTATAATCTCCAGAGCCTGATGTTTGGAGCGCAGTTGTAGCGTAGGACATTGTTCTTTCATAAACAATACAGAACGTACAACTCTGAGAAATAGAGAGAGCTCTGTAAACAGACAGAAATAGTCCCATTCCCATCAGGCTAAACAGGAAACCCAGCCAATTAGCTGTTTATTCAGATCCCGGTTTAGGAGGTCAGGGGTTGAAGAGAGAGCACTTCCCAGACAGCCATCAGACAGATGGAGCAGTGTCCGGAGGCAGGTGACAGCTGAGCCACACGAGAGGCCATCACCTCATCTCCGGAGTTACGAAGAGTTAACAAGCAGAGAAGATGAGCAGCTTCATGTCATCATTTATTCAAGTTAAATAAAAACACAGACGCATAATGGCAATGTGAAATGGGACACCCCGATAAGCTATAGGAAGCTTGAGAATAGGGGACCAGACAATAAAAAGATAACATTTTCATTATATATCATTAATACAGACTTCCGAGAGTTAAAGTATTATTCCGAAACATTACAACCCAAATACATATCCCATTCCGCATTTCAGAGGAAAGCGAACTTGTGTCGAAGTCCACAGCCATTCAGTGTATTCAATCTCTGAAATGTAGCTTCCTAATCATAAAAGTCAACGCTACTCAGAGGGCTAACGTCTGCTCCTGAGGACTTACTGTAAAGAAGTGGGTCCTCTATTCTGCCATAAGAGACAGATCATATGGCAGATTGACTTTATCTGCTTTCAAGAGCCATAAACGATATGCTTAAGCCACAACAATGTGATAACTAAATCCAGACTACGGATGGTATCTGTCATGCACTTAACCCTTTCAGACCACAAAGGCCTCGGAGAAGTAAGACAGGCTAATTGAATCCATTTAATAAAAACTATTTTTTTTTAAAACAGGGCCACATGTCAGGCTCCGAGATCCAATTTACGCATTTCACCTAATTGATTTACATAAAGATCAAAAGGCAAGGAGGTCATTTGAAAAGAGCCAGGTCACACAGAAGCACAGACACCAGCCCTTCACATGTGTGGTGTCCTCTTGGAAGAGGGGTTAAACAGGGTCAGATAAACCAGAGTACATATGGAAAGCACACATGTATAAACCCACACTTCACTTCATGTGATCTGTGGTTTATAATGCCCTGAAGTCTGGAATGAATGTGAGTACAAACAAACCTATTACAACTTCAATGGGGAGATTATGTTTTATGTTGGTTTGTTTATATATCAACTGGATGACAGAAAACGGCCTGATTTTCATTAAACCTGGAATAGTTAGAATTGACCAAGATCACATCCTACAATTAGGGACAGGCACACACATCATTATTTACTCTTGCTAACAATGCAAGACATGGCATGGCCTTTTTTGAGGCTTTGAAAGTGACATTATGTAACCGAAAAAGTGGCCACATTATTGAACGCCATCTTGTGTTAACAGAAAATGAATGCTGCTCTTTCACCATGCAGAAAGCTAAAATGCAATATTTTAATATATTTGAAACATTACATTACATGTCACTTGTTAGACACTTTTATCCAAAGCGACTTACGTACTCAATACTGTGGGAAATCCTCACAGGAGCAATTTGGGGTGAAGTGTCTCAGGGACACAACGACATGCTGACTGCAGTGGGGTTTGAACCTGTGCTCCCCCTGATCCGAAACCCAACGCACTAATCCACTGCACCACATGCCTCCCTGAACCTGATTAAACCTGATGAAAACTGCCCTGCATGGCCATTATGTCGCAGATAAATATCCAAAACAATTAGTTGCAAGGCATCGTTAAACTTTTTGTGTTGACTAACAAAAATATATTGTAAGAAATCCAAGGTTTTTAAGGATAATTTAAATGAATTTTTCATCAAATAAATAGAATAAATGCGACTGGTATGCTTGTTGTGTCAGTATAAAGGGCCGTGGCTCCTTGTACGATGATGGTTTCCTTGGTTCGTGACTGTGTGAAAAAGTAAAAAGCATACAAAGAGTCTTGTCTAGTAAACCGCAGCGGCTCCTCCCTGCACCGTGCCACTCACTTTGTTGGTTTGCTCAATTTGCTCGCTAAACCCACAAAGCCTTTGAGGGCCACACAGGGGCATGACAGCATGTCGCAAATCCTATTTTCTCAATGATTTACTTCCGACTTTCCCCCTGACTCCTAACTGAAAGGCAGTCTCGCTGTAACATGCTGCCTCAGGTCGTTGAGGGGGGGGCTGAGTACCTGCGTGTGATGTAAACTCAAACTGTCTGTCTAAAGACACATGCTTCTTACAGCTGCTTTTGGTTTTGGGGTCATTGTCAACCGATGATTTTACTGAGGAATCTCTGTGGTGGAGCTGGGAAGGCTTGATGTGCTGTGC